CCGGAACCCGCGCCTAACGGCTGCGCCCGCCCGAGAGCCCCGACCCTCCCTCCCTCCCCACCCGGGTCTGGGGAAGGGCGGAATCAATGCATCTACTCTGGAGGCTGAGATCTGAGGATCGCGGGTTCGAAGCCAGTCTTAAGCAGGAAAAGTTGGTGAGACTTTCATCTCTTAACCAGCAAAAAGCCAGACGTGGCGCTGTGGCTCACCGTAGTAGAGCGCCAGCCCAGAGCAGAAAGCTCAGGGACAGCGCCCAGGCCCTGAGTTCGAGTCCCACGACCGACACAGAGACAACAAGAAAAAAAATGGGTGAAAGGCTGACCTAGAAAGAGGTTTGGTGCAACTCTGCACGATGCTTTGTTCCTGTGCCCCAGTTTAATCTGGGGGTAGTTAGTAGAGTTTTCGGTTCCTGGCTCGTGTTCTTTCTAAAAGAGCTGCCAGATTCAGCAAATCAGCCAGCAAACCGTGGTCACCAGGCCTTTGCCCCTTCAAAATGTACTTAAATGTATTAAACATGTTTATCCGTGTAACATTTCGACGCTGCAGATCAAAAACAAACTAAAAACAGCCCCTCTCCTGGAGATAAAAACCACTGCTCAACCACAAGCTGTATATCATTTGCAAAGGGATTTAAAAAAACATAGCTAGGCCAGGAGCCAGTGGTTCACACCCATAAGCCTAACTACTCAGGTGGCCCAAGCCAGTTGGGGCAGGAAAGTCTGTAACTTTGTTTTTTAAATTGGTAGTAGGACTTGAACTCGAGGCCTGGGCGCTGTCCCTGAGCTCTTCAGTTCAAGGCAAGCAAGCACTCTACCACTTGAGGCACAGGTTTTCTGGTTTGTTTGTTCTTAATTGGAGGTCAGAATCTCATGGATTTTCCTGCCTGGGCTGGCTTCCAACCGGGATCCTCAGATCTCAGCCTCTTGAGTAGCTAGGATTACAGGCCAGAGTCACCAGTGCCTGGCTCTGTGAAATTCTTATCTCCAACTAGCTCTCCCTCCCGCCAATGAGATTGGGAGTAGAGCTGTGGCTCAAATGGTAGAGCACCAATTTTGATTTTTAGAAAAAGTTATGTAAGGCACAATGCCCAGGCCTTAAGTTTAAGTCCCAGTGCCAGCACAAAAATAGTAAAAATAAAATATATCTGGGCACAGGTATAGCTATTCAAGAAGCTGAGATTCAGGGGCTGGGAAGGTGGCTCAGTGGTAGAGTGCTTGCCTTGCATGCATGAGGCCCTGGGTTCGATTCCTCAGCACCACATACGCAGAAATAAAAAAGCTGGAAGTGGCGCTGTGGCTCAAGTGGTAGAGAGCTAGCTTTGAGCTGAAGAGCTGAGGGACAGCACCCAGGCCCAGAGTTCAGGCCCCATGACGGGACCCCCCCCCCCCCAAGAAAAAAAAAGAAGCTGAGATCCAGAAGATAGCAGTTTGAAGTCAGTCCCTAGGTTCCATCTCCAATTAACCAGCAGAAAAGCAGGCTGGAGGTGTGGCGCAAATGGTAAAGTGCCAGCCTTGAATAAACAAGCTCAGCAAGGTCCTGATTTCAAACTTCAGTACCCGGTCATAATGTAGAGTTCTTTCTTGACAAAGACTCAAGTTATTCCTAGTGGGTACATCTTGAACTTACTGTTTCCCAAGCACTCAACAAACTCAGTGTAACGGCCTTGCAACATCTTGCAACATCTAATTTACCACCCTCAATGGAGTGGGGTGTTTGTACACCATTTTACAGATTGTGAGGATGGATTAGAGAGGCTATTGGAGGACAAGCTTTTATGTTGTTAAGCATCAAGATTTCAAGCAAGAATCTGGCTAGACTCAGCAGCTTCTGAACAAATTACCAGGCTACTCAAGATGAATGAAGCACAGTTATGCATCTGAGAAATTTATACTGTACTTGCCCGCCCTAGTTAGGAAACGAGAGTCCAGTGGCATCTTACTCCCTTCCCTTTAAGGAAACACATAAAAAAATCCCTGGTCAATACTGGGTGCGGTGGCTCACACTTACTATTCAGGAAGCTGAGATTTGAGGATCATGGGTCGAACCTAGAATGGACAGGAAAGCCCATGAGACTCTAATCTCCAAATAATCACCAAAAAGCCACAAGTAGAGCTGTGGTTCACAGTGGTAGAGCACTAGCTTTGAGCACAAAAGCTCAGGGGACAGCACCCAGGCCCTAAATTCAAGCTCCCAGACACACACACACACACACACACACACACACACACACACACACACACACACACACACACAAAGTTTCAGAGTCCTCACAGCTCTCCTGATTTTTTTTATGTTTTTCTCTACACCATAGTCACTGACAAAACAGGGAGAGAAACTCCCCAAATGAGAAGTTTAGTCCCTGGCCAGAACCAATCACAAGGCCATACCCAGCCAGGGGGTGGGCAGGAAGTGCCTTCCACTTCCCTGAGCAACTCTAGGTTGTGAGACTTGAACTCCATACATCACTAATTTCTAATTCTCACAGTATTGAAGTGTAGGATTTCTTTTCTTTTGTTTTTGGGTCAGTCTTAGGGCTTGAACTCAGAGCGTGGGCCCTGTCCCTTAGCTTTTTTTTATTCAAGGCTGGCACTTGCTCTATCATTTAAGCCATAGTTCCACTCCCTGGCATTTTGTTGGTTAATTGAAGAGTCTCACAGACTTTCCTGCCCAGGCTGGCTTTGAACCATGATCCTCAGATCTGCCTTCTGAATAGCTAGGATTACAGACATGAGCCTCTGGTTTGGAAATAAATGTGTTGAGAGGCTTCCCCAAGAAAATCACTCAGACACATGGTCACATACAAAGGAAAAGGAGTTTTTTTTTTTTTTTTGGTCGGTCGTGGGGCTTGAACTCTGGGCCTGGGCACTGTCCCTCAGCTCTTCAGCTCAAGGCAAGCGCTCTACCACTTGAGCTACAGCGCCACTTCCGGTTTTCTGGTGGTTTATTGGAGATAGG